CCCACCCCCCCAAACACACATTTTTCCTACACACGTTTTCTCACTCCCACATGATCAGACCCCCACATTGTCCTTACCTTCACAGCGACCCTGTTACAGACAGCTTTCGTAATCCGCAGCCACGTGGGCAGCTCCAGGAGCTGGGTCAGAATATCCTCATTGAGCTCAAGGTTCGACAGCTCCCCCTCTCCCTTGAACGTGCTCACATTGATCTTGTCCGAGGAGAGATTCTTGGTGAATCTGGAACATAGAAGAGGTGAAATAATTTCGAGAGAAGCATTCACATGATGATGGTAATTCAGTGCAACGAAAATGAAAGACAGACAATGGAATTTTAAAGTAAACTCTTCTTCTTCTTCTTCTTCTTCTTCTTCTATTCCGTGAGGGCACCACTGTATCTGAAAACCAGCTCTCGCCATTTATCTTTGTCCTAGACTCTGCTTTCCTCAGATTGTCACCCATCACCTTTCCTGTCCACTCTGTAATGTTGTCCTCCCATCTTCTTTCTGCCTTCCTCTCTTTCTTTTTCTTTCTACGGTTCCTTTTGTTGGATTGCTTAGGTAAGTGCTGTGGATCTTATGACATGCAGAACATGTTAATTTTATCGAAGTGGCTAGCTGTACTTAGATACTAGGTTTGGTCCTATTGACTCAAACCTGTTGAGTACATAGGTCTCATTAGATCTATCTAGTAATTCAGGTTTAAAATACATCATGCAAGTCAGTAAGGCATTTTTTGGTTTTGTCCGAAATACAAATGCTTTAGGCATTGCAAACTAAAAATTTCATTTACAATTCAGCCATCATTATTAAGTATGGAAAGCCTGACAGTCTAGTCGTCCTTAAGTACGGCTAGCCTAGCTGTCTAGCCGTACTTAAGTACTGCCTAGCCGTCTAGCTGTACTTATCTTAGGGCCTAGAAAACAAGTCTCATTAGTAATTATTCAGGTTTAAAATACATATGCACTGTCAGTAAGGCACCTGGTTTCGTCTCAAATACAAATACTTTAGGTACTGCAAACCAAAAATGTATTTACAATTCAGTAGTAAGTACGGCTAGCCTCTTCCTAATTTTATACAGTATAATACAGTGTTCGCGACACAGGAAAATAATTTTACTTTTCAATAATCTATAGTAAAGGCAAATGGACCATTTCTCCCTTCCCACACACCAGCAGTTCCAGATAAAATTATATTATACATATATATATATTTATAATATATAAACTCTACTAGTCCTGCGTCTGTGTTGAAAAGCGAATCTTCTCAGCAACCGATTATGTCGGACGTTCCCGGCAGGCCGCCAGGGTCACTCAGAGTGTACTGTTGAGGTACAACGCGCGAGCCAGGAAACATGTGTTTTCGCCATGAATACTGTGGGAGCGTGTTAATTGATGATGAAAATAACGCTCTATAATCTTTCATAGCGTTCTATAAAATAAAATGTTACAAACACATGAATTTAAACCCCCTCTCACAAGCTGATAAAAAGACATTATAATGAGTAGTTACGCCCATTCAAATTTACCTTTCTTCTAGACGCTTTTGTTGTTATGAATGACCTGGGGTTCGAAAGGGGATTATATAATATAGAACAATTTCCGAATGTTTTGCACTCAAATTGTTGTTTGTACCTCTGCACAATGGCATTCAAAAATGATCAAACAAGCTTATTTTTTATCAGGTGTGGTATCATTTCATGCAAAATCAAGCTCATTTGAAAGATTTTGTACAGAAAAATGGAAGTCTCGTTACCTGACTATATTCTTTCGAGCTCCTCATGTGTAAGTGGGTCAATTTGATCTATAATTTCATAGGACGAACATCATTCAAGAGCTACCAACTTGGCGAGTTTTGAATTTGACGTATGCCTTGGTTACGAACCAGCGCAGGCGGTTCAAGAAGAAGGCCACAAACGCACACAAACTCAAGCAGACTGACGCACACACACTTGAGCTGCGTGAATGGGAATCCGACGCGGGACCCGAATTGAACGGGACATGGTGTTCGGCGTACGTGTGATGAGCCAGGGGCCAGACTGACGTGGGACCAGAATGCAGGCGAGGTGCCGAAACAGGCTTATCGGGCGACATAAACCTGGCCCCCGCAAGACAAGAGTATGGCAGTGAGGAGGATTCAAAGCAGGGTTTACCATCCCCACCCCAAGACCACTTTAATTTCTAGTGTATAAACAAAGAAAATTAGCACTTGAGTAGTTCAAAGATCTAGAGATATAAATTTACCCAAGTAATATTTACTCTGCCAAGATCAGTGGTGTCACATTTCAGTATTTTTTTAAAGCTAAAAAGTTAGCTCGCTCTGATAGAAAAATCTTAGAAGTAAGGCAGGATGCTTGGGGGGGGGAATTACCCAGCCCCAGCATCTCTATTACACACCTAGACTCTAAAGTAGAACAAGAACAAAAATAAACTAAAAGTAAACTGCCTCTAAATGATTTATTTTTATCACCAAGGGGAAATGGTGATTACAATGGAAAAAATACTAAACACACAAAATATAGGACAAAAAAACATTATGAGTCTAAAGCAGGACAATTTTATACAAGCTGGTCGCCGCTGTGCAACACCCTGACTGACTCTTTTTTCTTTTTTGGGGGGAGTGTACAGACCTGGTAACCGGGAACCAAGTCACAAAGTATAAGAAGGGAACTCTTTTGTGATTTCGGAAAGTTTCAGCGCCCTCTTGGCTCAGGGTAGACCTGGGTTCTTCTAGTTCTAGATCTATGGCCTAAGTCTAGATCTAGACAGACAGACATAAATCATTGATCTAGTTTCGAGGCTAGCCTAGATCTAGATCTAAATGAAAATTGCGGATGTCTTTTCGATGAACGATCGTTTTTCCTCCGTTTTGGAGTTGGAGGAATCACAATTTGAAGAAAAGAACAATGTCATATATATTTCAATCGAGCAGTTACTCTCTCTCTCTCTCTCTCTTTCTCTCTCTCCTCTGTCTCTGTGTACCGTTCGCATTCACTTTTTCTTTGTTTGTCTCTGTCTTTCTTTCTCCCCACCTATTTCCCACTCGCTATCTTTCTCTCGTTCCCTCCTGCCAACTGGGGCATGTCATATACATTTTGCTAGCACCTCTCTCTCTCTTTCTCTCTCTCTCACACACACACACACACACACACACACACACACACACACACACACACACACACTACCGGGTCTGGGCGCTGAAACTTTCCGAAATCGCAAAAGAGTTCCTGTACCGGGTCTGTATACTTTGTGACTTTGTTCCCGGTTACCGGATCTGTATACACTTCGCAAAAGTAAAAGCATTAGATACCCCAATGACAACACATCAAAAACCCATGAATAAAAGTAAAAGCCACTGTATGCTTGACATTATTTTTTAAATCTGATCAACTCACTGCTCACTAGCCACTGGAACCCCTAAAGAAAGTAAAAGAATAGAGAGGTGTAAAAAGGGTAAATTTTTACTTTCACTCCCGCACACAGATGCACTGTTTCAGGGGTCAAACTGCTGTACTGTTTGCTGCAGATCACACATAAAGCCACTAAAAAAACTGTCGCAAATCAATTATTTTCAAGACAATTTCAAATCTAATTGTAAAATATCAAATTATGGGTTAAAAACAGGGGGGCTTGCCCCCCTGTAACCCCCCAGATTTTCTTTTACCCCAGTGGGGCAGGCCCCCCTGGAACCCCCCGACTGGTCCAAAGCATGTCTATCTCGGTTAAAAACAATCAAATATTTCAAAAACTATTAATTTGCGACGGAAATGAAGTTGATATTCGTGTTCAGCAGATCAATATTTAGTAGAAAATAGACAACTGGTAGCGGAGTGTGAGACGGGAGGGAAAGTAAAAAAATACCGTAAAAAGAATTAAACAGTAGAAGAGTGTGTGTCCGCTAGACTTTTTTATACTAAAATTACTAATTCATCAGCTATTAACAGAGCAAAAAGAGAAACATTACTGCATCAACTCGAAACAATTTTAAAAAACGAGAAAAAAAACGAAGACAGATTCTAAGAACTTGCTTGAAAATCCAAGGCCTACACTTGGTCTTGACTTGGGTTTATTTACTGGCCCCTAGCCTAGCTAGAGCCTCCTTGATTTCTAAGGCTAAGGCTACCGAATAATACCTTAGCCTTAGCCTTAAGACTTAAAATATTTAGTCCAGATTCTATCTAGATCGGATCTTGACCTAGATCTAGTCATTAGATCTAGATCTAGATCTAGTCTAGATATCTAGATCTAGATCTAGATCTAGTCCAAGATTCATTTAGAATAATAATAATACAGCCTAGATCTACACGATAGAATCTATGAATTCAATCTCAACACTCGTCCTGTGATTGTCACTGAACTGTCCTGTTCATTGCGCATTTTAAAAAAATTATAAAAATCACACTTACTTTGAAAGATGCTTCAATATTTGACTTTTTATAAGTCCTGCCATGGTTGTAGTATACTCCCAGTGTGAAGACGATCAACCCAACTCCATACGAGAAGCGCACAACATCATCCTAATCTGCTACAGTGCCACACAGCGAGTTATCGGACCGTCGACAAGTTGATATTCGCCATGTTTGTAATCAATAAATCGCTTACGGTACAGCCAAGTAAATGATATAAAAAATTGTATCTAAATTTCTCAAATTAATACCCTTAAATTATCAAAATATTGTTTGTATTATTAAAAAAATATTTATGCGGGAAAATTACTCATGATATAGAAATTATCAACATTGTCTAAGATTGTTACAGATTCTATAAATCCAGGGGGAGAGCACTCTAATTTTCTACTGGAGACAAAAGAGGTGCCATTGACATTAGTCAGATTGGTACATAAAGAAGTAAAATTTATATCATGTACGTATATTGTCACACATAAATCAATTTAAAGATATTCTAGCTGTGTTTCGATTGCAAAAGTTTTGGATTGACCTGAGTAGGTTTCTGCATGTTTTTATACAGCCTGGTAATCCCACCCAGGGCCCAACCAGGAAATGACATCAGTTCCTAGTATTGATTTTTATTTTTGTTGTCGGTGCATGGGCCTCCTGAATGGTGCTTTAATCATGTTGGGTATGGTTTTTTAATTCTGTTTTCTCACCAGTTCTGTGTACTATGCTCACATGTTTTTGCTTTCATGCTAACTGATTATTCTATACTTCTATAGCAACTGTGTAGTTTATACAGTTCATGGTTTTGATTCAACTTGACTGGTTGCTTATGACTGGGATCAATCTCAATCAAAGACGGGGTGCCGTAATTACTATGACGTCTGTCCCCATTTACTGTTACCCAACCCTTACTTCCAAAGCCCCCCCCCCCCCTCCCCTTCCATTTCCGTCCATTTTAATAGCAACGAAAATCATGGCCATGTTAACCATCTCAATCAAAACTTCTAGACAAATCTGCCCCAACTCCTTCAATTGCTTGGTCTTGGTCAAGTGCCATAAGAGTAGTGACCAGTGAGCAGGCCTATTTTTTAGCCAAGATATAGCGTTAGAAACTCGAGATCTTTTATGATTGTGGGCTCATAGAACGAGAATGAGTATATCCAGAGATGTATTGTCAAAGCTTTCTCTGCGGATGTCTTAATTTTGAGGTCTTTGTCTACTTTGCATACACACTAATTTTTGTTTGTGTGTTAGCAAAGCAGCGTTGAAACCACCATTGACTGTTGCTTAAGGCAAAGAGGGCCTTTCTGATTAGACAGTTAAGCTCTGGCAGGTTTGCATCGATATGTCTATTTCTTCTTAGACTAAGGTTTGTGCCATGTGTGCATGTTCTTCGACCTTGTCAGTTTCAAAACAGATTTTTATATTTTCTTGCGTGATCTTTGATTATATTATACAATCCAGACTTGAATCTCTCTTTAGTTGGTTCTGTTGTTTATTCAGCAGGTTTTTTTAAAGCTGTTGTGTGTTACATCACAGAGATGTCGTTCCTATTCTCTTTGGAATTGTGGGTTTCAGTCACCATTGGATTGGCTGACTTCAAAATTTTTTTATTGCAGTGATGTCTGGGCGATTTCTATTCATGTTGAAAAATGTTCCTCATGAACATGAGATATAATTTGTTTTGACTCTTGACTTGTTTTTGGTTTTGTTTGTTTATTTTATTCAATATATATATGGAGATCAGTCGAAAGACTTTTTTGGTAGACTGTCTAACTCAAGTGAACTTTTCAAGTTTTTCAGCTTTGACCATTTTGTTCTTGGGAATATCCTCTCTACCCCAGAGGCCTCTTATGTTGACCGGCAATATCCATCATTCACTACGGTTGTCAGCTGCTCTGCTGCGCTGTTCCAATGAACGTACTGTCCATGACTGTTAGTTGTCATTTCATAGTATTAGTCTCCTCCTTCTGCCCTCACGTATGAAATTATTTAAGCTTTAAACTTTTTTAAGAGGTCTTTTTCGTCTTATCAGTGATGGGAATGGCTTTGTGTGCCATTTGCTGTTTTCATTTCGTACGGATATTTTCCCATTTTTCAAAATATTGTCATCATTTTCTTCCGTTTTGTAATCTTCTTAAAATGTTTGCTTGAACGTGGAAAGGATTTGTCTTAAAACCAAAGAGAATTTACTTTACTAGTGGAAAGGTGTCATTTAACATTATTTTTCTACTTTTTGTCCCCAGTCTCTGAAATCTGTTGTACAATTTGGTTGTGAGAAATGGTCAAAGTGAAAAGTCCTTTTCACTATGTGTCAATGAGGAATTATTCCTATTCCCTCATCTGAAAGATGTCTTGGAGAGAGGTCTGATCAGTTTCACAATGAATGGTGCATAAAAAAAAGAATTTTTAAAATTTGCCCACCATCCTTTTTAGCCGTTGTGCAGTATTATTTTCCCATGATTAGCCTCTTAGTTATGTTCAAGCCCATTCTTAGCAGTGAAAGCATCTGTACACAATGCTTTTTAACTTCTGTTGACTTTTTCTTGACAACCACATGCCCACTCGTCCCCACGACACCCAAGTGTGAAGCTTCTTAACGTTTACGAGAGTCATCTATCAACCTTGGTTCATGGCTGGTTTTTGTTGATCAATACTGAAAAAGTGCTCTTTTGGGGATTTCAATTGTGAATGTCTTTCTGCTCATGTTCAGATGTCCTTTTTTGGCATTCGCTTTGTTGGACTGTGTTTGATTTCTGTCCTTCCTCTTTCCTTCTCCTGTTCTCTTACTTCTGGGCTTAGTTACACAAATGCCACAATTGCACTAATAACCCTGGCCAACTTTTTGCTTCTGATTTAAATAGAAAATCCCACAGGGACCTCTGCAGCCCGCTAAGCACTCACCCAGTATCTTTCACATATTATTCTGTCTCCATTCACTGTCAAATGCTCAATTGTAAGTAGTTGTACTGACGAAAATGGGGTAATGTTTGTACTATATATATCTATGCTGATGGACCCAGGGGTCAGAGGCTCAACTTGTTTTATAGCAAATCCTTCAAAGCCTTAACATGCGACTGAGGTGCCCTGAGGTGATAGTATTTACGAAGAACACACAAATTTTGATGAAAGTGCTGGTTGTACAATAAGTGCTTAGATTTGGCACGAGCATACTTTATTGAAGTAATCTCCCTTCATGTGCTGTGGAATATTGATGGATAACAAAGTGGAAAAATAGTTTAAATGTAAGTATTACTACACCTCCATCAACATCATTTAGATTATTTTGGAGGTGGGCTGCTGACGCTGCCTGTCGGGGCCAACCAGGACTGAGAGGGATACAACATTCCCAGCAGTAAGACTGAGATACTCAATAAAAGTTTCTCCCAACTCGGGTCTCCTGCTGGTGTCAGCAAAGCATGTAACGGCTACAACACGGACATCAGGGTTACAAAGTGAATATGGTATGAAAACAAGAAAGCATAAAATTAAAAGAGGTCTACTCAGCAGTTGTTGCTGCCCCTGACTGTAGAGATAATAAAATATTTTTTATGTTTTAAATTTTTTTACCAAGATGTTTTTTGTCAAACCAACAGTCTCAATTGTACATATAGTAATTATTATATACCAATGTTTGTGGCTTAATGGTTAAACCCTCTGCCATGGCACACAGAGAAGACGTATTAGCTTGTTTACCAAGTCAGTTTATTTTTTTATTGAGCATCTCCGTCTTTCTTCTTGGATGTTGTATCCCTAACAGATCTCGTTTGCCCTGACAAGCAGGCCCGTAGAAGCCCACCTCATAATCATAATCTGAATTGAGGTGTTAAGGATGTAAAAAACAACTGCGTTTAAAAAAATATATGTTTTTACCTTTTTAAGTCTCAGTCACATAAATATTGTCATTATATGATTGTTGTTGTTTCACAGTCTATGTAGAAAAGCTCGTAAATTTCTGTATTTCAACTATTTGGCTTTTTTGGTGTTGCATAAAAAGCCTGAGTGAGTTTGATTTCCTTTCGTTACTCTTCGAGTAATTGCATACTTTCTGCAGGATATATATATATCCCACTCATCAGCGGTTGGCCATAACACAGACTGCCTCCTGAATGTTGTTACTTGTGTCCAATGGGGTCGAACAGAAATTTACAATCATTTGCCTTAAGTGGCAGGGATGCGTGATAATTTTGTCAAACTCAAAACAATTGCAGCACTACATGGCCTCTATACGTTGTTACTGTGGAGGGAGACTTTTTTCCATCTGCCTGTTATTTTTACCAAGTCACTGTGGGAGATCTTTGCTTTCGGGCAATTTACATGTGCGAAATGCCTGTAAAACTTCCTATTTCCATTGACAGACATGATGTAGCGGACCTTACTATCTTGAAGGTAGTCCAGGCCAAATGAGACTTTTCATTGATCATAACTTACCGGCATATTCAGTAGGAGAGATTTTGTGGTTGCTCCACTTATCATTCTAACATTCTTTTGAATCTATCACATGGATCTCTCCTGAACGTTTTTTACCATTTGCAGTCAAACCTCGTTGTACTGCCCCCCCCCCCCCCCCCCCCCCCGTTATACTGCAATCCCCACTACCGCAAGGTTTTACCAATGTATGAAAAGGAGTGCATATATAAACATAATATTTGCATTTGCGTCTTCACACGGCCATCCGCCAACTGTCTGAGTTCTACAGTCCCTATTTAATCATGTAAATTTTGCAGTGCCATACTACCAGCCATCAGAGGTACACTCTGCACATGGTGCACACACCCACTGGTTTGCTTCTTGATAATTTTTCTCCCATGAGAGATAGAGAGAGAGAAGAATATCTGCCGTAAATATACAATTGCTTGTCATGTATGTATATCGCTAACAAAAAGACACTTTTCAAACACAGATCGTTCAGCAGAATTAAGTTCCTTCACATTGGGCGTTTGGGGCTATACAACAGAGGAACCGCCAGCCCTACTGTTCTGCCGACTTTATGCTCGTCCCAAGGGTGGCAGTAAATGGAGTTTTGACTGCACTTCCGTTGCAGGAACTTTTCCTCTTTGAACTTTATTGGTTTTGAATGTTACCAGAGCCTACATCTACACAAAAGTTCAACATTTGTTTCATGTCCGAATTTTTCTCATCCATCCTGGTATGTTTCTCTTTTCAGTCCAGCCTCCTGTGCAGCACATGAGTGTTCTGCCTTTGACAGTATAGAATGCCAAGCTTCCACTAAAACATTTCTCCTCATGGTCTGTTTTTATACATTCTGCTTTCCTTTTTTCTTTAGAAATTTCAGTTAATAGTTTGGTGTTTGGTATTTTTAACTTTTTCTACTGCTATGGGCACGCTGTTTGTCTCTTTTTCGGTTTCTCATCAGCTGTCATCAGCTCACCCCCTGTGATGGGTAGCTGGAGGTGTCATTGGCAGTTCCTATTCTTTTATTTTCATTCTATTGTTCCTGCCTTTCAATTCTTCTTTTTCTCAACTTTGATGAACTTTTGTCATGTCAGTGTGCTTTTCTACTCAAACTTAGATATATATTTTCCTCTTCATTTGTACATCTCCTTTTCAGTAGGCTTCTGTTTCATGCAATAAGTCCGGTTGATGTTAGTTGTACATGTGTTTCCAAGGCTCAGATCATAGCTCTTCTGCAGTTTGTGACTCTGAGGTACAAAGACAGAGTGGTACTAGAGTGTCTTTGCAACACCCCCCCCCACCCCCTACGCACGCACGCACACACACACACACACACACACACACACACACACACACACACACACACACACACACACACATACACACACACACACACATACACACACACAGATGATTTAGGTAAGAATCAGTGCGTATCGTGTTTACCAGTAGAATACCGGCAGTAGGGGGAATTTATGTTGTGTCATCTCTGCCTTCTCTGCTTTCTTTTTTGTATTATCATTCGTAACCAAGGCCCAAACCCACATCCACCCACCATTGATTTTTTCATAAAGAAAAGCTCTGCGACTTAATAAATGTCATTTAGTCCTGGGAAAAAGCAAAAAAAACTGAAACAAACCAGGGAAAGAAACAAAGTAAACTAACTAGAGTCCCCTCCCCCCTTGAAAAAAACCCTTCTCTGAAGTGTTACCCACTTTTGTGAAATAATGAACAAACATCGCTACAGTTGTCTTTGTAAAAGGCGGCTTTCGGGTTTATCAGAATGTTCAAAGTTCAAAGCAACGCAGGAAACTACAAAACAATGGTCCAAAGAGGACACACGCAAATTTCCTTTTGTTTTGACGCTGCTAACTAGACTGTCCTTGATCAAAACTGAAATTCAAAGTGAAAATGACCATCACCTTAATTTGTACATACACTTTTTTTTTTCTCTCAATCATTATTAATATTCCCATCTAGATCTAACTTTTAAAAGTTAAAATCTATGAGAAGAATATTATGAGGCAAGTTGCTTAAAGTCTGTCAATTAAAATGTTTGACATTTCCTTAGTCATTACTGACTTTGTTTGTCACAGGAAAATTTCTTAAGTTGTTGTAATATTACATTTGTATCGTGGAGTCTACTTACACCAAAATCTGCAGGGCTGCCAGGTTTTCTTCAGTCTAGTCAGGTTTTTGGTTTACAGAGGTTGCTCAAGTAGAAGACAAAAGAGTCAGCTGTCCATTTTCTTTCTGTTTACCGCTGTTTTCGTATCTACTATTTTCAGTTCTAGCGGCCTCCACTATCTGTTATGTACGATTTCAGCGTAAAGGTGCACTCAAGGACGTACCAGCTCTTATATTTACTGAATACATTATTTTTACACTTGGACCTAGCTTTATAGACATTAAAGTACATGTAACCCCCCCAGGGCAGTGCCACTGACTGTAGTGTCTTTAGGCCATTCCCAAAGGGGGGGACATTTCTCGTTTAAGCATAGTAGAATTGTAAATGGGCTGACTCATGTCACTCTCATAACTGTGCCTGGTCTACAACAGGGAACTGCTGCTTTTTCTTTTCTGATCCTTACTATTGTCATTTTCTTCTACTTCTTTTGTATGTTTGTCACTCTCTTGTGACCTGCTATTTCCTGGGTGCCTTGATAGTCGAAGCAGACCTTGTGCTGTTGAAGCTAGAGAGGTGAGCAGTCTAAGTCTGATTCCCTGTAAAGATTTCTCTGTTGACACCCATCCCTTGGCGCTCCTATGACCTTATGCAGTTGCGAGCGCCATAAAACCCTCTACTATTTAAAAAAAGAAGACATTAAAGTAAGGTTCTTTTAAAACAGTTGGGGCTTATATACTTGTATATTGCAAAAGGTGGCAGTTATTGGAAAGGCTTGGGCTTGCTGTTAATGGTGACTCAACTTTTAATTTTGTTCTGCTACTTCGCAGCTGAGTTGTCTAAAATGTGACGCGTCGTGTATATCATATGCATTTTAATATTTTTCCTATCATTATGATTCAATAGTTTGAATTCCTTTGTTCTCGATAGCTTAGCAGGTAGGCCAATGGACTTGCAACCATAAAATGACAGATTGGAATTGGAGTGTTGGCAGGACACTGCTTCTTTGGGAATACAGGTGGTCAGAGGGCGTCACTGGTAGATTCTACTTTTATTCTTTCCCTCTGTTGTTTCTGTCAGTCTATCTTACTCCCCACTGTTAGGTCTGTTGGGGTCATAATCAATTCTAACTCACTTAGTGTCAACCTTACAGTAGAGATATGTGCTATATAAATGCAATTTAATATTAGTATTATTACTTTGTATTACTATTTTCAACTGCTCCTTCTCTTACTCATGGCTGTAGCCTGCTGTGATAAAAATTTGTTTTTTGTTCTTGTTATATTTCTTTTGCAGTTTTTGTCAGGTGTAATTAACCTGCTACCCTTTACTACTCTGCTAGTTACTCTGCTGGAGATCCTTTTTCATCTGTATCGGCACCAGTCAACAAGCTTTTTTGTTTGAGTATTTTATTTTATTTTATTTAGTTACTCTGCTGGAGATCCTTTTTCATCTGTATCGGCACCAGTCAACAAGCTTTTTTGTTTGAGTATTTAATTTTTTAATTTTTTTTTGATTTTTTTTTTTGGGGGGGGGGTCTCGTCTTTGAGTTTTCTTTTTTCAAAGTTATGATGCAATGTATCATTTCCTGTTGTTTTTGTAATTCATTTTTGAAAAGAAGAACAGCCGTTGTTGACTGATTCGAAGAAAATAAGACCTCACAATATTTTGGAACTGGAAATGTGTTTATTTTGAGTGGGTGGTTGGTGGGTGCTCTGGTGGGGTTTGCATAAACTGTGGTCGCAAAATTATCATTTATTTCCCCACTGTTGGCATAATAATACATGTATTATCATACGCTATTTTAAGTGAAGTGCTAAATGTGTGCTGTATTTTGAAGTTGTATCTTCATTGAGGCATTTTCCCGGTGTAGACAGTTTTGGGCGTGGATGTGTGTGTTTTCCCTTGTACGTGATCCAGACCACCTTCGGTTTAATTTGCATGTAATAGCAAACTAGTCTTACTTTCTGCCTACAGGCCAGCTGTAGTGAGTGGTTGGCGGGTCCTCTGGTGTAGTTTGCTCCTTCTTTCCTATCAAATATCTATCGTCCTTATCTCTCCTCCTTTTTTGTGTTTGTTACTCTCATGTAATACCTCTAATCTTCGGCATTTATGTGACCTAATTGTGTTGCAAATGCCGTAAAACTCTTATTAAAACTAAAAACTCAGCTTGTTGAATGAGTCACTAAGACTTGGTTGTTTTCTCGTAGTTCAATGCACAGCGTGGTTTTACCATTCAGACTTTAAAAAGTAAAACCAAGCCATGCTATCAACTAACATATAAAAAAACTACCAACATGAGTCCAGTGCACTCCTGTGACATTCTGCCTTTTGTAGTTGCAAGCACTACAAAATTGTTACCGATACCATACTTGCATCTCTAAGTCGTCCTCTTTCCCGCTGTATCCAGCTGGTGCTTGGTCGATGCTATCATTTCATTCTTTTTCAGTGTTTATTGAAATTCAATAGTTCTTATCTCTTCGCGTTGATATATAATTTTTAACTTGATCTTCCTCATCGCGCGTAGAAGATGTAAATTGGATTCTGGTGTGGGGAGGTTTTTAAATGAATTATCACCTTCTGTCCCTGGATGTTTTATCTCCCTTAGACCAGGTTGTCCATGACTAACAGGATCAAAGCAGTCCGCCTTGTAAATGATCTAAGCTGTGTCCATAGGAGCGTTAAAATGTTTGTCCATTTTCATTAGTTCCGAGTGATATGCAGCAGTTAATGAGTTGTGTAGTTGTCAGCTGCCTCTCCGTCTTTCTGTTTCATAATCATGCGCACACTCCCAATTCTCAACATTTTTACTAGTTGCAAACAAAGCTGGACATAATTGGAACTAATTTTATACAATATGGTTCTTTTCATCCCTATGATTGTGCTTGTTTTAGACAGACCTCTTCATCACTAGTAAGTGTATTATTCCTATACAGCGATTTTCATTACTCCTGTGTGTATTTATTTTATACAGTTCTCTTCATCACTGTGTGTGTACTAATTGTATACAGTTTTCTCTTCATCACAGTGAGTACTTATTGTATACTTTTCTCTCTATCACTAGTGAGGGCACCCATTTTACACAGTTCACTTTATCAGCTCTGGGTGCACATATTTTATACAGTTCTCTTTATCTCTAGCACATGACTGTTTCATGTGGTTCTCTTCATCGTTTGTACATGATTTTGTTTCATAAAGTTCTCTTTATCAAGGGTCATGTACTTAGATTGTGCTATTCTCTTCATCTCTGATACATGTTTTAGTTTCACTCAGTCCTATTTGTCACTGGTACTTGTACAAGCTTTATACAATGAGCCTCTATATCTCTAGTACAGTGTACATATGTGTACTTGCTTCGTACAACAGTTCTCTTCATCACTGGTAGGCCTACATGATGTTTTAGTTCACACACTTCTTTTCATTGCTAGTGCATGTACAAGCTTCCTCATACAACTGTTCTCTTCATTGCTGGTGCATGTTTTGGTTTCATACAGTACTCTTTGGCGCTAGTGCTTGTGCAAGTACTTGTTTTATACTACAATTACTTCTCTTCTTCATCTCCAGTACATGTACTAGTTTCATACTATAGTTTTCTCCATGACTGGTAAATGTACTAGTTTTATTCTAATTTCTACAGTTGTTGTTTTTTTCATCTCTGGTACATGTAGGCCTTCTAGTTTCATTCTACAGTTTTCTTTATTACTGGTACATGTACTAGTTTCATACTAGTTTTGTTTATCACTGGTACATGTACTAGTTTCATACTAGTTTTCTTTGTCACTAGTACATGCAGGCTACTTGTTTCATACTAGTTTTCTTTATTACTGGCACATGTACCAATTTCATACTTCGGTTTTCTTTTCTGCTGGTACATGTACTAGTTTCATCGTATAGTTTTCTTTATCTTTGGTACTTGTTTCATCCTACAGTCTTCTTTACCTCAGGTACATTCACTAGTTTCAAACTAGTTTGCTTTATCACTGGTACATAGTTTCTCACTACCGTTTTCTTTATCACATGTACTAGTTCCGTACTAGTTTTCTTTATCACTGGTACGCATTTTAGTTTTGTTCTACGGGTTTTTTTTCATCTCTGGCAGCCTACATGTTTTAGTTTCACACAGTTCTCTTTGTCACTGGTAGGCCTAATCATCGCCTCAGAACTATTTTGTCCAAAGTGTACCCAAATAAAGAGGCACTTTGGACAAAATAGCTCTCAGGCGACGTAATGTACAACTACACGTAAGTTTGATACAGCTCTCATCTTCAGTGTTGCAACTGCTGTTATAAGTGTCGAACTGTTCTCGACATAACTGTGGTCAGTTCTACTGTGGAATGGCAGTGTTGTATACAGTGTATCGCGCATTACTGGTCTATTGATTAATTCGTCGTGCTCATGTCTGGGCCCCACATGCGTACCAGCGGCGTGCAGCCACGAACAATGAAAGGGGCACCTCGCATTACAGGCGACTTAACGTTTTCGACAATGGCGATTTCCACGCTCCTCATGGGCAAACGCGTACGGTAAATAGGGATTAGCGCGCAACCCCCGTACGCTCGCTTACTTACTGAACTTGCCTTGACCTAGACCGGGAAAACACCTTTCTATTTTTAGCGCCCACTACTGCCTAAAAATAGCCCTGACATAACCCCCGCTGTCGTGTGCGGCAGTCTTTCCGTGACCCAGGCGAGACAGCGAGGTGGAGAAAGAAAGCAGCGGCGCCTTGCCAAGCGACAACGGCCTTCTCTCCGTCTGTGTTTGTGTTTATGTGTGTGTGTGTGGGTGCTATTCTGAATCATTCATAGATTTCGGGGGCAGTTTTGCTTGTTCGTGACACGCGAACAGTTTGTGTAGTTCGAAGTTGTTGGATTTTCTTGTTGAGAAACACTGATGGCTACAACAGCCTAAGCTGTGGTGACTTGCGGTATTTTCCCCAGGTTGTGACTCAAAGGATTACTATTTCTGTTGTTGTGTTTTGGATTTGGATGACAAATCTACCACGTTGTTGTGGAAAATTCGGATGTGTAAGAAATAATATATTTTACGGTACCGTAGGCTGTTCAGAGTTGGAGACTTGTGTTGGATTTTTAGAGAGGATTTATCGTTCATCCGTTGTTGTTGCTTTTAAGGTGTTAGATTTTTGGTAAGTTCAATTATGTTTATTTACTCTTGCATTTTCTTTATATATATGGTTATCAATTGCCTTCAAACCTTTTAGTATACTTGTTCTCGTGGATGGACGACTGCAACTTACTTTGCAGTTTTATGAGGGAAATTTGGGTTTTCTTTTTTATATAAGGGACTCGCCGTACTTAAGGTCTTACGCCTGGCCTGCCAGTCTAGCCGCCCTTAAGACTTAAGAACAGCTAGCCTTTTCCTTTTATTATTTCACTCTGCATGCAGATGAATTGCTTTTGGAGACTAAACCGCCATATTTTTGGCTAAAAAGCACAGTGTGGCTGATAACACCGTAAATCAATTGTTTTCAAGAAAATCTCAGATCTAAATACAAAGCTTCAAATTATAGGAAAATACAGGGGCATGTCTGAATCCCCAATAAGACTCAAAGTCATGGACAGCTTATGCTCACAATGCTCCATTCCTCGACTCAGCCAACTGATGTCTCTTTAATTTTTTTGTACTTCTATTTACTGGAATTGGGGACATGTCAAGTACTTTTGTCCATTCCTGACACGTTTGAGTTACTCTTGCCCGTCTGTACTGTGTATTTTTCCACAGATTTTTTTGTGTGGTAGGCTTGCTAGGCTTACTTGTTCTCTTTTGTAGGTCCTGTGCAGGCTCAGTATGGCTGACATTAGGCCTGCTAATAAACTTCTTTTTCATCAGTTGTGAAGAGGTTGATAGAAAAAAAGCATCAATCTTTAAGTCCTGTAAATGTTTTTATAATGATTGCAGCAAACATTGTAAATTGTAAAGATCTTTTTCTCCCTCATTCGCCATTATAATGCTTGTTGAAGATTTTTTTAGTTTTTCTTGTTATTGTGTAATTCCTAGGAAGCCTACCAGATAAACTCAAGTATTAGAGTTTAGAATTGTCTTCCTCTTGTACGTTTTCTTAGTTTTTCCTGTAGTTGGACTTGGACGTTGCTTCTCAGACCTTTCTGCAAATGAAAGCACTCTGTCTTGTGCCGCTCTGCCTGCCTGTTTTGCTTCCAAACCAGGTTTCTTGTCTTGTTCCAATCTTCTGTTAGGTTCCCCCTTCATCTTTAGACCTATACATCATAGTAAAGATGAAATTATATTATACAAAAGTAATCTAAACATTTGGTTTTGTTCACAGGTCACAAGATGCTTGACATTACATTATGTTGAAATTGTGATCAATGTAATAGAACATTATTATAGTTTGTCTTCAGTGTAGCAGGGAAGGTTGAAGTTGTGAGCATTGAAATGAAAAAAAAAAAGAGTTTATCGTCCAGTGGGGCAAGTATATCTTCAGGTACCCTCTCATGCATATTTTAAGCTTTGTGTGGGCAACGCTGTCTCAACAGCCCATTATTTTGACAAGATCAGAGTAATGGGTAATTTTTTTCCTGGCACATATGGCATATTTTAATGATGGCAGTGAAGAGGTTGAACTCTAATACATGAATGTCTTTTATTTCAGAAATGGTCAGAGTACACAATGGGTTGAAGAGTGCAGGAGACCAACGCAGCTGCCCGCTTTGGAGCCACACGACACCCATCTACCTCACCCCTCTTCAATCTTCCCTCCTGCAGAGCTGTTGATTTTTCTTGCTGTTGCTGCTCAGACCAAGGCATCACTGTATAGCTCATGTGGGAAATAGCCAAACTTACAGCCAAGATCACCACAGACATTTTACTGTATTTTGAGGTTTCCTCGTAGCTGTCTCTACGTGGTGAACAATTGCAAATGCAGTCAGAATACCAGACTGAATTGTGCAACCGTTGTCTTACTTTATACTGGGCCTGCAAAATGTATAAATGATTTTGTGCAGTTTCCGTTTGGCGTCAGAAGGAAGGATGTTCTAAGCAATAGTGAGAGGTTGATGTACTAGTGTCAAGAGTAACATCAGTTTTTCTATGCATTGTGGTTCAAGCAAGTGGCGAGAAGTGTAGCTGATGGATAAAGTGTTTGTTTGATTGCGTGGCAGATCTTGATGGTGTAATCAAGTTTCCAGGAAAATCTTTTATTTTACGACGACCTACGCAACCATATCAGGAGTGCTCTATCCTGCTGCACTGCAATATTTTACCGGATTTTTACACTGAATTTAACACCTTTATAGTGTGAATATATCGCTGCTACCTCAGAACTTCAAGAACCGTCTTTAACATATAATGTATTGTACCATTTCTTGTCCTTACCATCCAAGCTCAACACTTTGTTACCATCCATGAGCTACAATAAAACCTTGAGCGTGCCTTAATCTTTACGGAGTATTTGCCGTAAAGAGACTCCACCTTCCGGCATAGCAAGTGTATCTTGCGCACACCGCGTGTGCCAGTATTGGATCTTTGCCTAAACTCTCACATCTTTATGCAGTATTTATTTATACCAGACTTTTAGTCTTCACTTCGCATGTCTCGTGACTCGTCGGTGAATTGATATGATATTGTCTGCCTACGAATACCCAAAAGCTGATGGGTACTTAAAACCAACGAGTCAGTGTTTTTTTTTACATGAGTACACATTTGGAAGGAGATACTTCTATACACGTTTATTTCTGAATGCCATGGTGGCTGAAGCTTGATCTAATTATTGTATGAATTAGAACTGAACTGATATTGTTTCGTTTCGGGTGAAGCAAGGCTGATCTTATTCCGGTCAGTTCAGCTTGGTCTGGGGTTTTTTTTTTTATTTAATGTTTTCTTTTGGAGACTGGGAATATGTCTCGGTCTCCGTTAGTGACTTTGTCCTGACAAAAGACATCTAGTGGCCGCGATGCTACACGGAAGACAGATGGCTGTGCCAGGCCGTCAGCCCGGGCTGTGAAGGAGAGCAGCAGCGGGAGGAGGAGAGCGGCATTCGAGCAGTTACGTGTGCTGGAAAAAGCTTTGGCCCGGCCATGTCCCTGTCTCGGAAACGCCTGGACGCCGGCCTGTGTGTGACCTGTGGTCAGCTGCATGAGGTGCATGGAACACATCTATATGACTACCACCAGCAGGTGAGTGGACAGAGGGTTTCATAGCTTCTGTGTGTGTGTGTGTTTCTTTCCTTCTTTGTCACTCGCTCTCTTTCATTAGATGCACGGAACACCAGCAGGTGAAGAGAGGTTTCTTAGCTTCTGAGTGTGTGTGTATGCATGTTTTTCTCTTTCTCTCTCTCTCTTTCTCTCTCTCTCTCTCTCTCTCTCTGTGTCTCTCTCTCTCTCTCTCTCTCTCTCTCTCTCTCTCTCTCTCTCTCTCTCTCTCTCTCTCTCTCTCACTCTCTCTAGGCAAGTTTCAGGTATTGCTGCAGATCAGAATCGGCATGCCTGCCATCCATTAGGGGAGATTTTCATATCTATAAATAAACACGCTGACTTCTTTGTGGGTGGTTGGCGGGTGCACTGAGGTGGTTTTCTCTTTCTTTCGTATTGAACATCTATCTTCCTTATCTCTCGTCCTTCTCTTTCGCATTTGTCACTCTCTTGATTACCATTAATTGTTGATACTTGTATGATCTTAATGTGTCGCAAGTGCTGTAAAACACTGACAAAACAAAAAGACACCCCGGGGCAGTGCAACTGACTATAGTGTCTTTAGGCCATTCTCAAAGGGGGGACATTTCTTGTTCAAGCACAGTAGAATTGTAAATGGGCTGACTCATCATGTCACGCTCATAACCCTGATCTACAACAGAGAACTGTTGCTTTTTCTTTCCTAATCCTTACTATTGTCATTTCCCTCTACTTTTTGTATATGTTTGTCACTCTCTTGTGAACCGCTATTTCCGGGGTACCTTGTGATAGTCGAAGCAGACCTTGTGCTGTTGAAGCTAGACTGGTGAGAAGAGTAAGCCTGATTCCCTGTAAAGACTTCTCTGTTGACACCCACCCCTTGGCGCTCATATGACCTTATGCAGTTGCGAGCACCGTAAAACCCTCTACTAAAAGAAAAGCAGAAAAACAAAAAGACGAGTTTTCTTTTGACATGCTAGCCTACAAACTTCAAGGATAACTTTTTCTGGGTCCGCCCCCCCCGCTCCATTCCCATTTATTACTCTCTGCATTTGTTTTCTGTTAAACGTATATTAGGTAAATGCCCGAATTTTGTTGATAGGGGTGTAAAAATACATTTCTTCTTCTCCTTGGCTTTTCCAGTTGTTGGAAGTTGCTTCCCTGATCTTAAGGCAATAAAACGCTATGTCTCTATCCATTCTGCCTGCCTGTGTTGTTTTTGTTCCAAGCCATATTTCTATATAATATAGTAAAATTACTTCAGTTTTCAAAAACAAAATGTTATTTTAAAAACCCAATGCATTCAACTCTACCTTCTTTTCCCTGTGGCTGTAGATGGTTGGTGGGTGCTCCGGTGTGGTTTGCTCCTTCTTTCCTGTCAAACATCTTATCGTATTTATCTTTCCGTCTGTTATATATCTGTCTTACTGTAACTTTTCCCATCCCTAAATGACCACTATTATATCGATGCTTCTCTTCTCTGAAACTCAAACTTCATTTCCATGTACATCACTCTTTAGTAACATCTTTGGCACTTATACACTGTAAAGCTCTTACTAAATCTATGCTATATTTCCCGTGCCAACAGGTGGATGAGGACTTGATGTGCCACATCTGCCTGCAGCCCCTGGTGAGTCCCATCGACACGGCGTGTGGCCACACGTTCTGCGGGCGCTGCATCCACAACTACCTGAATCTGCAGCAGCAGTGCCCCATCGACAGGAAGCCTCTCACCGTCAAGGAGTGCCAGCCCTCCAGTATTCTTGTCCGCAGGTGAGTAAAGAGCATGATTCAATCGACATTATTTTGTTTTCCGAATGGCTAAGACTCGAATTGCCACTGGATCGGAAAAGTATTCCTGTTATATTCTCTAACTGCTTGACACCATCATCAGTGATGTAGCAGTTAGGAGCTCCGCCGTTACACGTTGAAGACCTGAGTTTGATTCCTGTGTGGGGTGAATATTTATCAAGTATCTCCTGTCTTTTTGTCTGCCGCGACATTGTATCCTGTATGCCCCTCAGCCCTAGTTGGCCCTGACAGGCAAGGTCATAGCCTGCATCCTATACTATCTAAATTGTGTTGATGGCACGTAACCACCCCCCCACCCCGTGCGCATTTAGAAAATGAAACTGAGAAAACTTAAGGTTTGCATTTGCTAACACAAAAGTTTTTTGGGGGGAAGACCTGTGCTCATTTTTGTTATGATACGAAAGGTTTTTGTTTGAGAAGACAAATAGGTCTTATTCAACGTTCTATAATATTTTATGTTTGCGACTAAAGGTTTTTGGGGGTTTTTTGCTTGGAGGGAGGGGGGTGTCATTCTTTTGTGAAAATAAAGCTGTTTTATTGTAATGAGATATGATAGTCAAATTGTGCCGAGATAAGGTAAGGCAGAAGATAAATTTGGTTGATGCTTGACTTTGATGCAATATAGATTACTTCAATTACTTTGTTATTTCTCTTGTTTTTTATTTTTTAGTTTATTTTCTTATTAACGAATCTGGTCGATTTGGTAAATGCTGCCATTACTTTTGCTCGCATGCGTGCGCGCTAGCACACATGCACGAACTCACATTTATTTCTCTCACACATAGATACTAACACGCCCACCCACTTTTCTCTCTCACACACACAGCACACACACTCACACCGTTCTCTCTCACTTAAATGTACATGCACACACATACACACCTGCCTCTCTCACACACACAACACACACACCTTTCTCTCTCACATAAACATACTTGCACACACACACCCTCACCTTTCTCTCTCACATAAACAAACATGCACACACACGCGCACGCACACACACGCGCGCGCACACGCACACACGCACACACACACACACACACACACACACACA